AACGTACAAAGCTAAATCTGAACCTTAATGTTGTTTATCTAGCTTTCCAAGATTTACCAATCTGCCTCAATTTTTTAAAGAAACTTAGAGCTTTATAAAACCAAAACCTATATTATATGTATTATGAAAGAAGAATTTTTAAAGCATATTACTAAGTATCAGATATACCAAATAATATAAAGAAGGATAAAAGAATTCATTACTGAAGAGTTAGACTCAAAGCTTTATAACAAGTAGAATATACTAGTCTCAAGTTAAACTTTAAAAAGAGTATTCTTAGAACAAGATATTATAAATACTGAACAAAAAAAGATTATATATCTGAGGTCTAACTAGTAACAATCTTACAACAGAGATTAAAAATCTTTTAGGATTAAACTCTAAAGCTAACAAGGCTATATGCTAGTTTACTGAACTCTTTTGGTCTAACTTTTTTAAGAAGTTATAGAAATTTTATTGTGAAATTATAACAGAATAGGAAGAAAGAAACAATATTAATACCAAAAAAAAGAAAAGAAAACTAAAACAGAAATATAAGAAAAGTCTGAATAGTAACTAAATAAATAAAGAAAACTAGAACTCTAATAAAAACAAGCTTGAAGAGTCTAATAAAAGTAAGAAAACAAGATACTAATATATAGCTAAAACTAAAGTCAGAACTAGATTAAAAGAAGACTAAAATAAAGCTAACTAAGCTTTAAAAATAACTAAAAGATTTTGATATAGGTACAAGGAAGCCTTCCTTAGATTATTAGAGTATAAATTTGTTTAGGCAAACTACTCTTTTAGAAGAAAAATTACTTTTGTAGCAGATTATATTTAGGTATCTAGAGTAGTTGAATGAGTTTAGAATTAAACAAAGAGAGTAGTTTAGTAGCTAGTTTAAATTAGGTTATTTTATTATAATAATATTAATTATGTTTTTTCTTAATAAATAAAAGATAAGATCATCTAAGTTATAAAAAAAAAAAAAAAAAAGTACTACTCTAGAGCATATACTACATATATAAAAGAAAGTAAAAATAAAAGAGGCTAAAATTGATTATATAACTATATAGCAGAAATACTGTTTATAATAAAAATTATAAATAGTAAAACATATATACTATTTATCTTATATTAACTCTAATCTATTTTCATATCTATAATATGACAAATAAGTAATTAGCTAAAATCATATATATTGTTTTGTTATTGTTAATATTCTAATACATAATTTGTTCTAATTAAGATGTAGTACTGTTATCAATTCTTTATTAGAAGTAAGCTAATTCTCTACTTTTCTTTAGTAAAAAGCTACAAAATATATATTTATTTGTATTAGTTAAAGGATCTAGTAAAGTTGTTACAAAAACTATTTAGAATAAATAAAAAATATAGTATCTGTTCTAGTACAGAATACTGTTAGTTTAAACTCCTTCTTCTCTTCTACTTCTTTTTTTGTTTTTACTTCTTAACTCAAATATTCTATAAAGTAAACTTTTAGCTAAAATTTTAATATCATTATTTGCTAGATCTTTTTGCTTTTTATTGTTTTATAGAACTTATTAGACTGTACAACTCATACTTCTATTTAATACTAAAATTTTATTAGGTTTCCTTAAGTTTTATAAGTTATTTTATATATCAAAGTTTTTGCTCTATATTAGTTTAGATAATTAGCAGATTGAGTAATATTTTTTTTTGTATTAAAAGTGAGATCATATTTCTATTTTTATTAATAATTTAATTGAGATTCTGCAAGAAGTTTTTCACTATAAAGAATTAACTTCATATATTTTAAATTATATGACAAGAATTAAAACTTAAACTATAGTCTGTTAAAAATATTTTTATTTAATAAAAAATATAGATTATAAATATTTTTATATAAATTTTTCAAATAAATTTGCTTAAAATAGCTTACAGATTAAGAAATAATAGTATAAAAGAATTAAGTATTATAGTAGTTTAATTTAATAAGAATAGTTTCAAGAATAGAATAGTTAGTAAATAAATACTTTATTTTATAGATAGTAAATTTCTCTAATAAAAAAGAGAAGTAAAAATTTTTATATATTTGCTATAGTTTTAAAAAGAAGTATCTAGTAGTTTATATATTTTAAATCTTTATTCTTCTAATATTATTATTTTAGCTATCTAAATTTTTTTTTTTATTAGCTTATAAATTATTTTTATTTAATAAGTTATATTAAAATATTTTTTGTCTAGTTAAAGCCTAGCTATAAGTAAATATAGAAATAATTAAACTAAATATTAAAATAAAATTAGTATTTTCTATATATATATTAATTTCTATAATTATATAGTCTGAATTAGATATTGTAATTAGTAATTCAAGTATTAGTTCTATATTATTTTAATTAGTTTTAAAAAAATATTAGTTCTGAATATATTGTTTTATTAATTAAAAGCTATAATATTATTTATAAATTTGTCAAAAAGATACCAAATTTCTTATTTTTTTATAAATATTTTTTGAATTTTTAAAATTAGTTATAAAAGTATATCAGTATATAAAGCTAACTTTTTATTATTATTATTATTATCTTTTTTGCTTTTTTTTTATAGTATTTGTCTGTATAGAAAATATTAGTTGTAATAGAAATAATAAAATCTTTTAAGAATCTAATCTAATAGTACTATTATTTATAAGTATTGCTAATATAGTTAGCAATATAAATTTATTAAAAGATGAAGATATAAAAAAAATTAGATCTTAGTTTTTTTAATTATACATGCTTAGAAAGTTTAAAGATAAAACTAGTTATTTAATTATATATAAAAGCAAATATATTTTTATTTTTTATTTTTTCCTTTTAATTGTTGTTTTAGTAATTATCAAAAAAAGTATTAATCTTAAATAATTATTTGTAATTTATTTAAATCTATAAATATTTCAAATAATTATTTGCTTTTATAAATTTATTAATAGTTCTATTAAAACTTCTCATAACTAGTTAATAAATAATAATATTATTAAAGCTTATTATTTATATTCGATTTAAATCTATAAACATTTTGAATAATTACTTGCTTTTTATATATTCACTAATAGTTCTATAAACACTAGTTATTGCTAATTGATAAGTTATTATATTATTAAGACTTACTATTGATATATAGCTTAAATTTATAAAAACTTAAATATTTATTTGCTTTTACTGATATGTCAATAGTTATATCAGAACTTTTATTTATAATTAATAAGTTCAAATATCAATAAAGTTTATTATTAATAATAATTGGTTTAAATCTATTTATATATCAAATAATTTGTTTACTTCTAATGAATTACCAATAATACTATAAGAACTTTATAATTAATTTTGATATTAATAAGAATTATTGGTTGTATTTGAATTAAATCTATAAAAATTTTAATTTATATTAGATATGTTTAGTTCTAATAGTATACCCAATAGTTCTATAGCTACATTTAAAAATCTGAGACAAATCGCAACCCGATTTGTCTCAGATTCTTACCCGAGCTTGCTATTCCCGGTATGGTTTCATTCAACCTGTGATAATTGGTTGATCAACTTATTTAGGAGTCTTAAAAAGGGCACAAATCCACATATACGTATTTAGATAATTACTAATTAACGAACTAAATCGTACTACTTCACCACTTGGGGTTTTTACTTACAGCTAGAGGTGTAATTATAATGAGTTATGGCATTTTTTTTTTTTTTGCTGTAACTCATTTTAATTACAAGTTACGGCATTGCGCTTACACCTCTACTTACAGAACGGCTTACATTTTCTATGTATGTAACTCACATAGTAGCTAAATAATGTTAAGCTTAATAATTAACCTATTTTTATAACAAATAAAAAAATTCTAAATATACGTACAAAAAAATGATTTCACTATATAATAAGATTCAACACAAAATCGTTTTTATAGGCAATTTTTAACAGCACTTCAAGAATTGATCATCTTCAAAAAAATTTGCTACTTCTAAATTTAAATAATGTCGCAAATTGACTTATTATAATAATTCGTCGTATTACCTAACTTCGTGCTAATACTCTCTATTCCCTACATGTAGTATATTATTGTATAAAAACTTCAAACTGCAATATACAATTAAAACTTTAATTGCATGCGTTATGTTAACTGAATACTGATTTATCCTTATAAATTTGTAAAAATGCATATTTTTTTCTAAATATTGTTTTTTTTTTTAAAAAAAAAAATCTGCTATTCGGAAGGGTTTATTTAAATTCAGGGTAAAAAAAATACCTATTCATTTCCCAGCCATGCAGCCTATTGTCTCAAGTGTCTTTCTTGATACATTATAATAATTTGATATTTTTGAATGGCCGGGAAATAAATAGGTATTTTTTTCACTGAATTAATTGTAGTGCGATATATATAAAATATATACTGGTATAATATCAATTTTAAAATGAAGCGAATAAAAGCCAAGTTTTAGTTGTAATTATAACAATTAAAGAATTGTTACTTAATTTACTTAAAATTTATTTTTAATAAAAATAGAAAGCTAAGAAATTTGGTACATTGTCCAAAATATATTTTAGAAAAAAAAATAATTTATAAAAAAAACAATAAATAGTCTAGCACAAATTAGTGCAAGTCACAAAAGTTACATTTTGTAAAATTCACCAAGATACAGTACATTCTATGAAAAAAAAATCGAAAAGCACCATATGTATGGATTCTTAAATGTCACATTTTTCTTCTCCTAATAGTAGTAGTAGTATGGCGAAGCGTCACGTTTATCTCCTTCGCCACGTTTTTCTTCTCCTCTCTTATAATAGTAGTAATATGGCGAGGCGTCACGTTTCTCTTCTCCATCGCCACGTTTTTCTTCTCCTCTCTTATAATAGTAGTAATATGGCGAGGCGTCACGTTTCTCTTCTTCTTCTCCTCTCTTATAATAGTAGTAATATGGCGAGGCGTCACGTTTCTCTTCTTCTTCTCCTCTCTTATAATAGTAGTAATATGGCGAGGCGTCACGTTTCTCTTCTTCTTCTCCTCTCTTATAATAGTAGTAATATGGCGAGGCGTCACGTTTCTCTTCTTCTTCTCCTCTCTTATAATAGTAGTAATATGGCGAGGCGTCACGTTTCTCTTCTTCTTCTCCTCTCTTATAATAGT